TTTTTTTTTTTTTTTTTTTTTTACGCAGTTCGCCAAGTATAAAAGTACATACACGTTTGCGCGTTTCTTCGCTCTCGGCGCCTCGGCTTATTCCTTATTTCGCTGAATGCACAGGTATGTCGCGTACACGGGGGTACAAGCGTGCGCCTCGATATGTATATTACGTTGTATACCTGCAGCTGAAATGGCTCACCCGGCTTGTGCAGTACGAGAGAGGAGTCGCGACAAACTCCCCCCACGCTCTTTCTCTCTCTGCTTCGGTACGAGTGTGCTGTAAGTTGATGGAAATTTTTAATATTTGATGCTGGGTGTGCGTATACGGTGTAGGTAGATTCCGCCTCCACACACGATGTATGACCAATTCTTTTTATTTTCCTGAATTCTTGAATATCTTGACAGTGGAGGTGATTAAAATTTCAAGCGCACCGCGTTCCGCTCGGCTCGGCTTGGGTATATACCCTCGTACCTGTCTCATTCGTACGTATGTATATACTTACACGTGCCTCCGGGAGAAATGAATGGATCTTCGTCACGCGTAAATTTTACATGCGAATAGAACGACTGCCGTGCAAAAAAAAGACAAGAAAAGAAAAAGTTTCACCGATCGATCGGTACCTTGGCGAGTGTACATAACTTTGCGTTTCATCATGCCAGCGGTTCGCAGTGTCATATATGTATTTTTATTTCACGAAAAAAAAAAAAAAAAAAAAAAAACTACGCGCGTTCACGAGTTTGTTTGAAAAGTACACGCGTCTTACGTACAGGCGCACACTTTTCAACTTGCACGGGGCGCCAAAAAGCCTCAAACGTGCAGGAATCGAGTGTGTCGCGGGTGAAAAATTTTCATCCCGTGAAACGTCGCGAGAGAAAGAACTCGGAGTTTTTCTGCCTCCGTGTGCCCGTTTGCCGGCTATTTCTTAAAGTTTAGCTGCTGTTATTTAGTTGCCAGACGCAATTAACGGAGGCGAACGAACCGCAAAGTGGCAGTATACGTAGTGTACAGTAGCACCACCACCACCACCACTGGCCTCAAAGTCATTCGTTAAAAACTTCTCGGTGCCGATCCACCCGTGCTCTTCTCCCGAGAGCTTTTTACGCGGAACTCGCGATTGTTGAGGCCCCCGTCCCCCCGTTTGTTTCATTTTTTGCCCTCTCGTTTCTTTTTCGGCCGGCTCCTCCTCCTCCTCCTCCTCTTGGCTGTTTGTTCGGTCGCGCGGACACCTCTCGGGAATTATGAGGATTTGTGAGCCGCGCGTCGGACGCAAAAAACGAACGCGCGGGAGGCCAGTCGGCACATCCATCCTCAGCTGTGACGCGATTTTTTTTTCTATCTTTGTCCCTCGATCTCCTTTCACCCCCCCCCCTCCCCTACTCTCGAAACTCGCCCGAGTTAGGTCCTGTCCACCCCCTCCCCAGCTTCTCCTCCTTTCGCGCCTCATTAATGAGAAAAGAAAAGCACGGTGGGTCCGAAAAATCGATACGCGGGTCACAAACCACTGGAATATAGGGACACTTGTTTTTTTTTCTGTAGTAGAGCGAGGGTTATGAAAAAGAAAAAAAGCCGTTCGACACCCACCGATGTGCGGTCTCGTTACCGGAGAGGTGGGCGCTGAATAATGCCCAGAGCCGGTGCTTTCGCGCGTCACGTGTGCGAATTTCCCACCGCTGCACATCGCGAGGGATCCATATCGGGGGTGCACCTTTACGTTACCGCGGTTTGTGCTAAAATAGGGTGGGGGGCGAGCGGGCGAGTTTACAAATGCATACACTGAAAGGATCCGAGGGATGCGAAGAAAGAGTGGAGAGAAAAAAAAGGCGTGATTTTTATGGACAATTGGACGTAAAGTGGCCCTTTTACGGTAATGTCTTTCACGGAGGGCTTGTAGAACGCGCGTCGGGGATTGTAGCGCTTATCGCGAGCAGCTCTCGAGGAGAAAAAAAAAAATAATAATAATAAGTAGGAAGGGCGAGAGAAAAAAATAATAATCAAAAGCGGCAGAGCTGCGGATGTAAATGCGGAAGGCTATAATAACAGCCGGCTAAGGAGCACAAAGAGTGAGGGGGGGGGGGAGGAGATCTGAAAGGCAAAGAAAGAAAAGTAACGCGGTTAACTCGCGAAAGAGGCGGTGGTAGGGGGGGAGTAGAGTACACGACGAGAGACGGAGGGGAAGCCCCGAGCTCGGTTATTTTCTATGGAAAAGGAGCGAGGAAAAAAAGACAGAGAGCAAAAAAAAAAAAAAAAAGAAATGGAGGAGCGAATAAAGAGGTGCAGCGACAGCGGAACAGAACGGGGGAGCCCGTCTGAAATAAGAAGATCCACCGGTGGGTGTGTATACTATAGGACTCGGGAAATTCTCGGGCAGCCCCACACACCGAGGAGCGAGAGAGTCCCGGCTAAACGTTCATGGTACAATGAATTAAACATGCGACTGTGGAGCCACAACCACCGCCGCCGCTACACGTGCACCCGAGAGGTACTCCTTTTACTGTTCCGCCGGGGGGATGTGACTCTTGAGCGTGAATTATCACCCAAGAGAGTAGATGGGGGTATATAGGTAACAAACAGGTGGATACATGCTCACCGCGAGGTTGTGTAGGTGAGTACCGGGAGATAATCCGGAGGTACAGTTTGTTTCGCAATCGAGTACTTGAAGACTGTCCACCGAGAACTCGAGAAAGGATGAGGGGGAGGGGAGAAAAAAAAAAGTACAAAGTCTAGACAGTTTATTATAGCTCTGGAGTTTTTGGGTGACTACCTAATTGACGTCCATCTGTTGCCCTGTGACAAAAGTTCACTGGTTATCAAGTTTATTGAATCGTGCCATTGGCGGTGAAGAACTTTTGGAAAGTCAATTGATTATTCAACGGGATCGACTGGGATTCGCTTATTTTCGGAGCAAACACGGTACATACTGTAAATATACCTGAAACAATCGATATACATTTATAAACTTCCGCTCCATTTCGGGAATCAATAATATATATATATATGCACAAGCAATCGTTTTGCCAAAAGCACAGCTATAGTGGATAAGTTTTCAAAGTTTTTTTTTGTTCCATCATCGCCCAAGGGGAAAGACGGGCGCTTCTTTGTTCAAAAACTCGCAGCAATCTGGAAAATTGTGGCGCAGCTGCAGCGAGTCTTTTGTAAACTCCAGCGGAAAAATCGACGCGGGGGCGAAACAAACGTCCGTGCATTATGATTGCCAAGGCGCGCGTGCTACTATACGTTTCAGGGGGGGTACAAGCTGCAGAGGGACAGGGGCTCCATATACTCGCGTTCATCGGCGAAGCTTTTGAAAATCACGAGTGTAATTAACGGCATCCGTTTCACGCTATCCCAGGTGCGCACGTGTACATATATAATGGGCGTTGTCGTTCATCAAGCGCACTCGTTTCGCACGTCCATTCGATAAAAGCGCGTCTTTTTGCACGCGCGGGACAACGGCGATGAAGAAAAAGGAGGAGGAGCAATAAAATCACGCTCATCGACATGGAAATCTGCTCGGAAACTCGAGAGACGCGCGATTAATTGGGTCACACGCCAGCGTCTGCATGAGTTCGACGTGCCGAAATTATGACCGGGGGAGGGGAAACTTTTTACGGGCCGAGTTATCCGCACAACGAGAACGAACGGGGCGGAGGTCCTTTACGTCTTCATTAATGGTAATGATCCCGCGGAAATATCGCGATTCGAATTCGAGTCGCGCGCGAGCAGGAAGACGTTCGTTGACTCATCCGGATCGGGTCGTATATAACGCACACTCCTCCCCACGCGGTACGTGTATGCGCGCTCACGTTTTTAAGGGGAAGCTGAAAAATCGTCCCCGACAAACTTAAGGAGGATTGATCGCAGGGCTCGGAGAATTTATACTTTTGTCGCCAAGTATTTATACCCATCGGTAAGTGATCGATGCAACGCTATCAAATTATTGTATACAAACGCTCAAGATGAACAGGAGTGGTGGGTTGCCCTTCACGAGGAGACGGGAAAAATGCCACAGCCCATTCTGTAAACGAAAAGCGACACTTTCCATCGGAGCTTTAAATTATATCCCAGCCGAGGTTCTTTCTCTCTCGGCTTACCATCGCGTTCCCGATGCCTCGCTCATTTATTTCGCGTTCGCGTATTTTTAGCCAAAGTGACTCAAACTCCACGGCACGCCGTTGCTGCTATACCAGCTCTATACACTACGTCTTATGTATACAGATGCTTAGTGCTGCTTGTGAATAGAAACTGAGTGTGCTCTCTTTCTCTCTTTTCTTTTTCCCCGTAAAAACAGAAAACCAAGCGTATAATATACAAGCTCGCTCTTGGTCCATTTGGGTTTTGTTTTTGTTTTTGTTTTTTTTTTGTTTTTTTTTTTTTTTCGAGTACGTTTTCATGCGATGAGCCACGCGCGCTTTAATTAAACATGTACCCGCGATTTGCTTTTCTGCAAAAACGCATATCTTATACGCATTGTGCGGTGCTTCATCCGTGTATGTTTTCGACGAGGGGGCGAGTTGTTGAGAGCTATTCATTAAAACTAAACCTTGGATATACACATATATATACACTTGCGAGTAAAAAATATTGCACAGACCCCTGCCCCTCCCTTGGATGTAATTAAAAGTACACGATGCGCTTCATTAGGATGAGAAATATATGAGTTTAAAAGTATATACCCTTACAAATGTATACGCCCCTTGAAAAAGAGAAACTTGTAATTTCGGTGACAATTTTACTTACACAACTGTACCATATAGGGTACATCTAACGTAATGAATCTCTTGATCCCAAATTTTTTTTTTCCCCCCCAATCCCAAAGAACCCGATCTAGTTGTCGCACGCACACACACACATTATGTTGCAGGCACGCAAATGTAGATTTGAAAATAACCAAAGAAGAGATCGAGAGAGAAGAGGCCCGGGGCGGGGAGGTGCAGGCTATTAATAAAACCTGGTGATGCGCACGCGAGTGGACACCCAGAGCTGGCAGCTTTGGCCACAACTCCGAGGAAAGCCGTTCTCGTGAAAATTCGGTTTAGTTTATTTGCTAAGCCGTCCACGTCAACATGTAAAGGTCGAGCGGAAGCTCAGGTTACCCCCCTCCCCCGCGTTTTCATCCCCCGGTAGTGACAATAGTACATGTATATACATATGCGCGTAGTGATCGGTGCGAGAAGAACAGTGCGGGTGAATTAACGCCCAGCAGTTACCAAGTGTCCAAGTGTATGTATAGTATCGCGAGTCGTGCGCCACTCCGCGGAAGCGAAACTTTGTCAAGAAAGAAAGGAAAACGGCACGCCAAGCATCAAAGTATAGGAGGAAAAACAGTCAAACTCACTCAGTCAGCCCCGAGTGTATATAGCTGGGGCGGAGAATATATTCTATAAATATAAGGAACGAACGGCGCCGCGTGTGTATATATATGTGTGCAAGGTACATACGGGCGTGTGATGAGAATAACAAAGTGCACATTAGGGGCGGGCCAGGCGTGTTGGTATAGTTGTAGGCATGTGCGTGAGTAAGCCCGAGCGAAATGGTGGAGCGGCACACGGGAGCTCAGACGTCGACGACCCACGAGCTGCAGTCGTTCGATGGATCGCGGAGCAACAAGCCCCACCGCAACAACAACAAAACCAACGGGGCTTTGGAGCCACAACAACAACAGCAACTCGACCGGCGCCACCGGCAGCGGGACGTTGGCCGCCCGGCCGGCGTATCCCTGTTCTCCCTGTTCAGGTGGTTCGGCAGGCGGCCGGACTCGGCCGACAGCAGCACCAGCGGTAGCCAACGCAAGCGGCGCTACCTGTTCAGGCGGGTCGGCCGGCGCTCCTCCTCCACCAGCTCCTCGTCCTCCGCCGACAGTTTCTACAGCACGGCGACGGTCCGCAGCTTCGCCTTTTACAGCGGCGCGACCCACCAACACCGGGACGCCCTCCTGCTGAGCCAGTCCAAGGCTGTCGGGCCCTTCGCCCCGGGAGCCGCCAAGCTCGTCGAGAAGAAGACACGGGCGGGCCCCAACACGAGCACCCTGCCCAGTGCCTTCTCCCGGGCGTCGAGGCTCGACATCGAGACGCGCTACTCCCTCCTCCCGAGCTCGTTCGTCTCGTACGACAGCATACTCGAGCGCGGGGGGCCCCAAGACCGTAGCGTGACCCTCGTCCTCGAGACACCGGGCCAAGCCGGACGGGCTAGGGTACACGTGAGGGGCAAGCGACGCGCCCCGGAGCCTCCCCCCGCGGTCCGTGCACCGTCACCAGAGCCAGGTGTAAGGGTCAGACAACGCAAGCGCAGACCGGCGCCTCGGCCACCCGGTCGGGAGACCCCGTCGAGCACCCTGTCCTCGGAGGCCTCCACGGGCATGGACCTCCGCGTCGATCGGCAAACCATAAGCAACGACACGCTCGTGCTGCGCAGGGGCCTCCTGCTCCCGAAGAGGAGGGACGACGAGACCGGGACGCCCGAGACGGTGGGTGTGGCGAAGCCCCTCGGCGTGGCCATGCCCCGGCCCTGGTACAAGCGGAACGAGCACTCGCCCAGCCGGAGGGCAGCCCGCGCGTCCAGTCCCCAGCGGCTGGGGTTCTTCCACCGGCACGACGAGGCCAACGGCAAGAACAAGCGTAAGTCCGGCGTGTCCATCCTGATGAACATAAGCGAGCTCGACCGGGAGGCGGCGGCGATCGTCCGGGAGGAGCAGGCCCGCAACCGCGCCTCCATGATCCTCCAGGTGGCCAAGATGGACGCGGACTTTGAGCGCCGGATGGGCGCCAACGAGGACATCGTCCAGGAGATCGTCAACGCGTCGATGATGCAGGACAACGGCTCGCCCCGGCGCAGCGCCCGGGCCCTCATATCGAGGTTCAACGCCCTGGGCAGCAACATCACCACGAGGGTCGTCGGGGCGAACGCGAGCCTCTTCAAGCCCGGCAGCGCCAAGAGACCCGACCATCCCCCCGAGAAGTCCCTCTTCCCGAGGAGGGAGTCGGCGGCCGTATTCGCGGAAACTATCGCGCCGCGGCAAGTTGCCGACGACAGTAACGTCGAGCTGGCCAAGACCCTGGCTGCCGAGCTGGACGACGTGGCCTCGGGCATCGCTCGGCTGAAACGGGAACTAGACGGTAGGCCAAGGATGGACGACCAGGCGTGTGAAGCAACCGTAAGAGGTGGTACGGTCGCGGAGAAGGAGGAACTGGGCAAAGAAGTGACGAGGATCTTTGGGGAGGTGGACAGGCAGCTCAAGGCAAAGGACTCGGCCGAGCAGAAGGTGCCGGAGCCAGTCAAGGGTGGCTCGATAACGAGCCAGGTGGCCAAGGTCATAGACATTCTGGTGAGCGTCGAGAAGGAGGTAGCGGCCAAAAGAGCCCGGAGCCCGGTGGTCAAGGGTGGGACCAAGCGAGTGAGCGGGGTTGACGACAGGACGACGACGGAGCTCAAGAAAATGCTGAAGGAGATGAGGCACTCGCTGGCAAAGAGACCCGAAACAACGGACAAGCCGGAAATGTCGCCCATGTTCACCCCGAGGCCCCACAGTTCGACCAAGGTGTCGTCCGGGGTGCAGACGAGCGGGAACGTGCGCCGAGTCGTCGATGGCAGATCCACGGCTCGTGGCTCCACCGAGGAAACCCACCGGGGCGAGTACGTCGAACTCGGGCCGCCAAGGGGGGAAAACACTTACGCTAATGTGATGGAGCAATCGCTCTACGCTAATGCCCAAGTTGCCGCGCCGCGGGCTCGCGACACCGCAGCTGGTGGTAAAGTGATAGAGCGAGGGCGTCCGAGGGCGGTGAAGATTGATTTACGAGGAGCGGATAATAAAGAAGCCACCGCCAATCCGGGTAATGCAGGCTCGCGGCCTTGGAAAAACGACAACGAGGAGGATCGCGATGGAGAAGGTGAATGGAGGGTACAGCCGTGCGGTAAAATTAATATGTAGCGCATGTGATGTATACGATTGATCGTTGTTTTTGCAAAAGGGGGTGGACTCGAGGAGACGGAGAAGCGGTGCACAAACACGTTGGCCGTGAACCGATTGCTGAGGAAGCTCGAGTCGGCGATCGCGTCGGGCCACCACCAGCAGGCGGCCAGTTTGGCCAAGGAGTTGGCTCAGCTGAAGATACAGTGCTCGGTCGTGAGGCAGCGATCGCGCGCCGTCAGGGACAAACTCAATCTCAACATGTACATCGAGGACAAGCAGGCACACCAGGGCCCCATACCTCTGCGGGTGAGAGACATGCTTCGTTAAACTTTTCGTTTTGAACCTTCCCCTTGATTAAGTGCGGGTTTGATTGTTGAAATTAGCTGCCGGTTGAAATGACGGTCGCGCAGCTCAAGGCCAAAATTCACATAGAGTTTGAAATTCCGGCTAACGTTCAGCGCTGGATAATCGGTAAAAATTTGGCTGACAATGACGAATCGACCCTCGAGGAGTTGCAAGCTCTTGAGGGATCACCTGTCTTTCTGTACCTCGTGGCGCCACCAGGTTGGTATATCCATACTATATGGTAACTCTCTCTCTCTCTCGACTCGCTTGATGGATTAAACGAGGCGATGGTCTACACATTTTTTCTGGGTTCATAATACAGTGTGACAATATGCAGACGATGACAATGGCCCAACCACTTTTCTAGTCGGGTACACTTAGAAAAAAAAACTACTTAATGCCATACAGATAATAAAACAGTTCTTTTATACGTACAATACTTCGAAAGTTTATTTATAATATTACGTATCGAGATTGTGTGAATTTTTAATCATTCATTTGGTAAGACATTCCTTACATCGAATTTGATATCTTAAATCACGATAAACAATTCGATGAGTCGTCAGTTGATATCAATTCCTATCGCTATGCCGAATAGTTATACCTACTAATGTACAAACATCAAAATAATCACGCGTACGATATGCTATTAAAAAATAAAGTTCATCCGATTGATAATTTTGAGTAATCAGTTTAGCCTACTTTTCTTTCTTGTGGGGGAAAATGTGATAATGTGTACCGGGTTGAATACCATTTAATGTAATAAAGAAAATTCACTAAGAACCCATTTAGAAACTAAAAAAAAAAAAAAATATTTTAATAATTAAGGCGTTGAAAACACTCTCGTTAAAAAAGACAAATTCCCTCGATCGATGGGAATGAAAAAAAAAAAAAATAGCCTCGAGCATAAATGACTTTTAGATTTGAAGGATAGAGGAGCGATTAAAACGGATAAGCAGCCACCGCCGCAGCCAAGGGATGGAGTAGCCCTGGAGGCGACGGGGGACGAGGTGGAGATTGTGGAGGTGGCGGGGGAGAAGGAGGCAGGGCGAGTAATAAATGAAAAGAATGACGAGCAAATTCACGAGATAGAAGAGAAAATTGAACACGCGCCCGTGGAGCCCGAGCTTCCAGCTGCACCAGTACCTACAGGGACTGAGGAGCCACTACCGCGAGCTAGCGAGGTATAATCAAGTGTATTATACGAATCGGGGAAAAAATAATTAAACCGGATCTACGTGGATTTTTCTTCTTTTTTTATACCGTTGAATGCACTTGTACGTAAAATTTCCGCTTCGCGCTTACGAATTTCATACGCGCTAATGATCGTTTGCTATTTTCAACAAAATAATAAATTTACCCGCATGATGGTGGTATTTTCCCACAATTTAAATATTATTAGTTCCAAAGTAGCGGTGGATGTTGAAGAGTAAATTAATAAGTGTGTATAATTATGCGCGACTGACAGACATGATTGATCGTTTTTAGTACGAGGGGGCATTTTTTCGAGATTTCGACACGTCACCGGGGCCTACTCACAAAAATAGATTTTGAATTAAAATGTGTTGATTTTTTTCAACCTCCGCAGGAGAAAAATGTAGTGCCAGAGGGAGAAAAATTGAAGCGATACGAGGAGTTGATGTCACTGGAAAATTGCGACGTGATATCCAACAGCGAGCCCATCGAGTGCCCGGTATGTTTCATGATTTTCGCACCGGCCGAGGGAGTCATTCTGCGCGACTGTCTACACTCGTTTTGCAGGTGTGCCGCTGTTTCTATTTTTAATGAGCCCGCGTTTTTAAAATCTGGCAAATTTCAATATTTTTAGAACTTGTTGATTATCCTCGCGTAAATATAATATATTTTCACCACATCGTTACTCAGCACTTTTTTTTCAATTACCAACGTTCTAGAAAATACATTTTGTTTCATATGTACCTAAATCATCTCGATTATGGACAGTAAAATTGTTCGTGCATATTTTTTTTTTTTTTTCTCTAGGATGTGTATTGCCAACGTCGTGCGCTACTGCGAGGAGGCCGAGGTCAAGTGTCCGTACAGAGACGCGGACTACACGTGCGAGTCGACGCTGCAGGAGCGCGAAATCAAAGCGGTAAGTGAAAGCCCAAGAAGCACCGCCGGGGTGCTTATCTTTGCCGGCTGGCCGCGATAACGAGGCCTGAGGGAAAAAAAAAAAAAAAAAAAAAAAAAGAACAAAGACAAGAAAACTCATGTATGTACTCTCGTTTGCACGGGCAGCTTGTGTCTGCGGAAGTGTACCAGCAGCACCTTGCCAAGTCCATAGCTCAGGCGGAGAACAATGCCGGGAACAACGCCTTCCACTGCAAGACCCCGGACTGCCCGGGCTGGTGCATTTACGACGACAATGTCAACAACTTCCTCTGTCCTGTTTGCAAAGTTAACAACTGTCTCACCTGCCAGGTGACGCGACAAAAAAATCTTGCACTACCTAATGCTCATTTGAATCGCTAATGATTGTTTTTTCTCTCTTTCTTTCTCTTTGATGCAAAGGCCATTCATATGGGTAAAAATTGTCGGCAGTACCAAGAAGAGTTGAAAAACTCGAAAGAAGGCGACGTCGAGTCCAAGAGAACAGCGGCAATGTTGGACGAGATGGTCGAGCGGGGTGAAGCCCTGCCTTGTCCTACTTGTGCGGTGGTGTTGATGAAGAAATGGGGTTGCGACTGGCTTCGCTGTTCGATGTGTAAAACTGAAATCTGCTGGGTCACCAGGGGACCACGCTGGGGACCCGGAGTGAGTTTTTTTCTTCTTTCTTTTTCCAATACACGTGCCAAAATGAACAAAAATCGTTCAACATTTAAAATTTATATTTCAGGGTAAAGGTGATACTTCGGGAGGCTGTCGGTGCGGAGAGAACGGCGTTAAATGTCACCCACGATGCAATTACTGCCACTGAATAGTCTTAAATCAATTTCCTTTAGATAAAACGTGATTTATCTAATAGAGAAAACAATGCGTAACGACTCGGATATTGAAAAATACAAAAGTCAAGCGGGAAGTCTTTGGTGTGTGAAACGATGTGGGTTGGGAAGCTGCGCATAAGGTTGTGCAAGGATAATCGAGTGAGAACTAATGTAGTGTAATGACTGGAGAGCTGAATTAAAATTAAAATCAATACTCTTATTTATATTCTTATACAAAGGAATCTAGTTTTGCAGTTTACGTAAAGCTCTTGTGTAAACCTATACAACGCGCAATAAATTATCAAATATGGTTTGAAAAAACGTATAGGCACCGTTAATTATTCCTTCGCATCACAGGGCTTGTCTTTTTCTCCTTCCTCTATTGTACCTATCTGTTTTAACCGGGTAACCAAAGTAGACTGGTGATGCGTCAGCTGACGATTTAGATTTCCTCCGGAAGCGGCGCGCAAAACTTGGACAAGACCAGCTTGTGCAGTCGTGAGATCCAATTGGCCGTATTTCAAAAGTGCATCGCGACTCAACAGTTTTCCATGAAGTATTCCAGCTGAAAAATTACAGTATCCACGTTATTGAGTGTTTTTAAGTACAAGTACAAGGTGATTTTAACATCATAATCACCCACCAAATAGTAGATTACGAATATGGACTTTTTATTTACCTAATAACAAAAATTGCGGCGCCTTCTTCGTGATTTTGTATAACTTTTCTGTTTTAATTTCTGGACTGAAGACAAAATACGTCGATTCGGATATCGTGTCTTGAATTAAATTCATCAGTACCTCGTAATTTGTACCCGGAAACGCTATTTTCAATATTTTCTTTTGATAGTGTTTCAAGTACATATTTTCTTTTTTTAACGCCACGGCAACGTCGAATTTATCGTGCTCTGTGATTGAGTTGACATGGAAGATGGCCGTCATATTTGAACTATTAAACCAATTCATACATTCTTTTGCTAGGATATTTTCATATGGATTAACAATTTGGATTTTCTGTCTCTCTTGTCTACGGATGTTGTTGCATCTTTCCCACAATGGTAAATTCGAAGCTGGATTTGAAATGAACGGTTTTGTAAATATTTCTACTGCTAGTCTTGCTGGATGTGACTTTTTTGGTTTTTGTATGTTAATTTTTGCTCGAAATCGCTTTTGTTGAGTGAAAACTAATGTTCGAATAGGTTGAATAGCTGTAACACAAAATAAAAAAAGAAAAGTTAATTGGAAAGGTGTTGAGTATATTTTTATTAAAAATGTAAGACTGTCAGAAAATGTCTCACCTAAGGTAATTAAAAAATTATTCCGATCTATCATAGGGCTCTCATTACGCGTCAATAATATACTCGTATAAAATTTACATTTGGTTTTTTAATTTACAATTTTTGTCGTAAAATTTACACTTTGCATCGATTAATATACTTTTTGGAACTGCGCGAATCTTTTTTTAGTCTCGGTGCAAAATATCCACAAAAATAAAATACACGGATTATCGCCTAGCCGTACATACATTGTATACATGTGTAATAATAATAATAATAATAATAATGATAATAGTAATAATAATTTGAATTGAAGTACAAAATAATATTTACAAAAATTCATTAGTTCTATATAGATTTAGTTCTGTTCTCGAGATGTAAGGCACATTGGAGCATTTTTTTTACAAAATCTTACAATCTGATAGTGCACAAATCGATTTCTTACGTGTTATGAATTAAAATAATGTGATCAAGTTATAATAATATTTAAAAAATTAAAAAGAAAAAAAAAAAAAATTAACTTGGATGCACTATCGTCGTGGGTTAAAAATTTCTGGCTGAACTCCATGGACAAAACAATTGGAAAAGTTAGTCCATTATGCTATGTAGTTAATTGTCCCGCTACAGTAATTACTGGTCTCGTGTCTGTTTTCAATGTTATCGCCAAAGTTCAGCGACTTGCGATTCTTGCCCAATCGAAGCATCGACCTAATGCCGGTCTTCTTCCTCGACCTCTTGTAACGATCGTCCAGGGCCGAGTTCAGGGATGCCTGCTTGACGTCTCCTCGACTGTTTGAAAAGCCCTGAACTTCCTTGTTGTTGCTTTTACTGCTGTTTGACACCTCGACGCTGTGGACGTCGTCCACAAGCCAGTGCTTGCGCGGTGATATCAGCTTATCGTTGCATCCTGGAATGGTGTACAGGTACTCCGGCTGGGAATGTTTCGAGCTCTCTCCAATCGACGACTTGCTACTGTTTGTCGTGCCAAAGCTATCACCGGCAGATTTGCCATCCTTTTTGCTAGATTTCTTTTGCTCATCCGATTTGTTGTTGACTTCCCGACCCTCGCGGAGTTTCTTGTTTCTCTTGTAAGTATCTGTGTTTTTGGCGTCTAAAGCTGCATGCCTTTTTTCGGACATGCTCTGCCTTCCGAGAGCATCCCTGGAAAATTTATTAGTTGAACTGTACTCCTCTAGAGACAGTTGGCTGTCGTAAGTTGGATCGCCCGAATACTGACTGTCCTTGTCGTCGGCGACTTTTTTACCATCCACGGTTGAACTTTGAGAATTTTCGTTGGAGTCCTCTAGTAATACTGATCCTAAGTTATCATCTCGTTGGCCAATACTAAGTTTAGTTGAAATACTGATTGGGTCGATCCACGTTTTATTCGTTGCAAGGCAATAGCTCTCGTTCCTCAAGCTATTTTTGTTGTACTGTTCCGTGAGCCTGTCTATCACGGGATTCCATGGTGAAGCTGATGCCGACAGCAAACCCTTATCCAATACATCCACTTGGGAGTTCAAATTATTATTTTCCTTAACGTATCCATCGTTTTGCTTGTTAATTGTATTCACTCCATAGGCACTGTTTATCATAGAATCAATTTTGCACGTCAAAGGTGACATTTTGTCATTGTAATTCTTTTCGCACGAGTTTTCATACGAGGAAACTCTTCTTGCTATCTCAAGAGTAATTACTCCAGTGATGGAGCTGTTGGTGTTAAGCATGGCTCTTCTCAGTGTCTCCATGGCATCGGAATTTGATAAACCGAGTAACGAAACACCATTCACCTTGAGTAATTGATCGTTCATTCTTAGCCTGCCATCTCTCGACGCCGCACCACCATGTAACACGCTCTTAATAAAAATACCTAAGTCTATGTTAGAATTATCGTCGGTTGTACTGGTTTTGCCTTTAACACTCACACCCAAACCAGCTTTCTCGGAATCATGAACTGGAATGTCTAAAGTAAGATGCATCTTATTTTTTTTTGGCGAAGAAACTACATTGTTTGTTACCTGCACAGATTTATAATCACACTTGTCATAAATGTCTGGTGAATCCTCTTTTTTCTTTGCTGAAGATTCCTGCAGAGATTTCCACTTTTTTGAAGAATCCGGAGTGACAATGGGAACTCCGATTTGCGCGTCAGATGGATTTGAACAAACTTCCTCTTGCCGCGAAACGACCAACTTTACTTTTCCTCCAGGTGGTATACTCCTCAGTAGTTCAACCACCTCCGACTGGCTTTTGCCAGTCATTTCTAAATTGTTTACTTCGAGCAAGCGATCTCCTGGCTTTAATTTTCCATCTTCTACAGCAGCACCTTTGGGAAGTATATTTTTGATATAGATCGGACAGTGGCCTCCAGCAGGGTTGTCTCTGGTAGTAACACTGAAACCCAGTCCATTGTTTCCCTTGGTCAATTCTATTTCTATCATTTTTCCAATTTTACGAGTATTAGCTGTCTGCAGTACATGGTAATTAGCACACTGCAATCGTTTTATACTGTCATCATGATCCACAGATTTTTCTGGGCTGTTGGAGGTTCCTACGACTTTTTGTATGTTTTTCTCTTGTGGTCTCTTGTACTTCAATACTGTTATTCGCAAACACGGCTCGTTCATACAGGACCTAAAGATTTCTTGTACTTTAGAAAATGGTATTCTCAGCAAACTATGTCCATTAATCTTAATAATAGTATCGTGTAAGTCTATTTGGCCATCCTTAGCAATCCTCCCGTTGGGCTCTATTCCTTCTACTCTTAGGCCTTGGTCGTTTCCTTTAATGTCGTAACAAGGCATGACATGCAGACCAAGAGGTCCTGCTTCATTTTTAATAATAATCTCATGAATTTCGCTTTTGTCCGCTGGGTCTAGTTTAAAACTTGGTATTTCGTACAGAGCTTTGGCATCTTGGCCCAGTGGCTCCTTGCGCCTGGACTCGCGGGGAAGAGAAAGTGCCGAGTACGTTGTCAGACACGGCTCCCTAGAAGAGAGGACGTGCATCGACAGTCTCTTGGTGCTCTCCCTTTTGATGTTACCAGTGGACTTGCTGGCGTAAATCCGGTGCTCCTTGCTTTCTGTGTGAAAATAGTCAGGACTATTGGTACCCACAGAGCTGGCCCCATCGCCGCCTATGTGAATAACATCCGAGCCAGCGAATTGTGCGACTATTTGCTCCCTGTCATCCGCAACGTCGCACAGTCTGTCGTCCGGATCGAGTATTCCTCCCCCGGTCAATGAGGATAAGCTACTGATGGAGAGGCTGCTATCGTTTTTGCCAGTAGCCTTCCTGTAGCGAAGAATGGCTTCGTGCATAAGATCTCTGACAAGGAGACTGCCATCTCCGCAAGGCACAACCACTCTAACGTTATTATCAAAACACACTGTTACCTTCATGTTTGCTTATCATGAGCATCACAAGATTTAAGAATGTAAAAAAGATAAATCACAGACTGTGGACTCTGAAATTGGGGCACGTAGTATAAGGTTATGCGCAAGCAGAATACAATTTACACACACATATGCGCACATATAGACAGCTTAAGTGTTATTGGAGCAGAGCTAACGAGTAAGTTTCGACGGAATGTGATCAGTCCATTGAAATTTCTATCTGTGGCAGGTGCATATCTGCATCACGTTTTGGCCGTTCTGTTCACTCCCACTTTTTACAAAAAAAGAGACAGAAAGAGAGTGAATCAGTGACGCGCACCACTGCACCACTCGTGACTATTTTCGTTGATAAACTTGACAAATCTGACTCCCTGTAGCCCCTCGACATCACAAGAAAGCGAATTTAATAGCTAGACGTCTGACGGAGCACGAGTAAATACTTGAAAAAAAATAAGTACACTAAAAAAACGTACGGAAAACCAGTGCGATTATAGAAAATATACACAAGGCACTATACTACGCCATTACAACAAGCTGCAGCTGCTCCTCCCTCTCCGCCGAGAAATACACACCGATTACACCGAATAAGAAGGTGTGTTACGTACATTAGAAAGTTCATAGAAATGTTCACCGTGTCGTCCCACTTGCTAATTAATTACTTGTTTTTTTTTTTTTTTGTTTGTATTACTTGCCCTCACAGAAAATTATGTTAAACATATAAACTTGATTTCCATTATTTTATACATTTTTTAAGTAAATAAAATGATTAATCAGCAGCAGTGACTAACAGGTACAGTACAGGTATAATCGCCGATTTCCACTGAAATATACCTACTCACTGCACTTGTCAACCAACAACGAGAACACACCTCTTTACGTGGATCAATGGACTTGACGGTGGCAGTTTTGAATGAATTAAGCAAAATACTTTTTTTTTTATGTGACCTAACAAAGTTATAGTAATAATACTGTACTAAAATTAACATTTCTTTTTCTTTGTAACTTTCCATCGCAGCAACAGTACACACATTATCTAAATGGGTATATATATATGGTTTTAAAAAAAGCATTGCTAATTTCAATAAAATAAAAAAAATATGAACATACTGCCAACTCAGATTCTTTAAAGGTTTTCATTGTTTTTTTTTTTATTTTTTTTATTTTAAAGAGTCTACATTTTTTTAAAATCTACAATAGAAATTAAAGATTATCTCAAGAGTATGAGCATGAGTAGCATGACATATAGTAGAACATTGTTAATAACATCACGCTGTTAAATTCTTTACCAATTTTAAGTACTTATAAAAGTTGAGTTTGTGAAAGAAGATAGCACTACTGGCCATAATTAGTTAAAAATATCTCTTGTCATGGGTTTAACATTTTTTTTGTAGGAAAGCTATAAATCTTAGGTTAGAATGACACTAGTAAATAGACAGCTTTCATGAAGAATTCCTTACACAACGCACAACCAAAAAAATATACTCCATACAATGGTTTACCTATTCTATTAATTTAATTGTTTATATGTATTAAAGTTGACTCATTATTTCTTGAAGAATGACAAAATGAGTCTATGCAAAAGGTTTACAATAATTTCTTGAATTTTCATAGACAGCCTTACAAACAATGTTTAGAAATTCAAAATAAAATGATTGACTCACCTTTGTTGAAAAGCTGAGACATGTTTGCAGATATTTTTCTGATAAACTCGTTGAATTGAATAAATGTCAAATTGTTACTCAAGTACTCAAGATATCTTTACACTGCACACGTATGGGCAAGCCGACAGCTTATTATTCGTGTTTACTTCAAGGCTCGACGACGACTGGTTAGATTTTATGCAGTCCACTTTTCCACCAAGGTCCAACAGTCCACCTACCCATACTAAGTAGTACTACTAAGTACCCTATTTCCAATCAGCCATCATCAAATTAATATAGCTTTTTCCGATCACATTTTTGGTTGTTTAGATTTTTTGGAACGTTTAGATGTTTTTAATATCCTCACACATGCAATATACAGTAAACACTATAGCACCAAAATTAAAAGCTTATCAAAATTTCTCATTGACATATTCACGTACGTAAAATTATCAAAACTAGCATAGACATGCGTTTAAGTAGATGAAAACCCCAAAGAATATTAACAATTTTTATGAGCGGAAAATTTCCCTAATCGATGACTGGCTCCAACAAATGGCGGGGTTAAAAAAGAAAAAATCATGAAAACATAGAAGCTTGAGATTTTTTGTACTCTTTATCCATATTACCCATTCACATTTAATTAATAATAAATCTATTAATTAAATGGTTTCATTAGGCCCTGCACAACACGTCTCATTTACTGAATTTTTTTCAGCTGGTTACTGAATTTCAAATTTGGCACACTTTTGAATGCAGTGGGACACTGGAACGTGGGACTGCCATAGGGGGGTGGGGGTAGGGAGGTGTTAGTGAAAAGCGTTGGAGAAAAGCGACAGGACGGAATGACGGAAACTTTAAGTAAGTAGAGGGAGGAGAGGAATCGAAGAATAAGTACAAGCATGATATCGAGTCACCCGATTTGATTACTTCACTTTTTACCACCTCATCACCACGAAATTAGAAGTGCGTTTACAACGAAGCTCACGTATTACGTCATATTTTGTTCCTGAAAAAGCCTGAAAAACTCTGTACAAAGTGTTAAATTTCGTGAAATCTGTGAGAAGAGATGAAGTGGTTTGAGGGCACCATTCCAGAAGCTATAGCTTCGGCAAAAGCTAAGAAGGCCGTCTTTGTGGTTTTTATCGAAGGTTTGTTTAATGTTGTTTTACAAATTTCTATAGGTTAAGTTCCTTTGTCTCGTGACATGCAAAATTTAGCCAACCAATTAAGTACTAAAAGTATCGCAATTTCACTAAACGGTACCCGGGACTCATTTTGGAATGGCGATCGAGCTCCTAGTTTTTTAATGCTTTTGTTTTTTTACAGGCAAAGATGATGCCTCACAAGAAGTTGCTAGGTCTTTGAACTCCCCAGAAGTATCGTCGTGTTTGGAATCTGAAAAGTTTGTTGCCATCAAGCTACAAAGTGATTCAGAGAATTACACGTTCTTTGCTCAGATTTGTAAGTATCTTGATCATATTTTGTATTATATACCCAGAACAAATGCCCGTTAGACCTTTCTATTTCTACTTGAAGTTAAGGTTCAGCAGCGACATTCAATGTTTACAAAAATGTTGATACATGTTTTTCATTATACATTGCTTCTTAGTGTATGTGCCAAAGAGTAAACTTTATTCATATAATACATTTTTTTGTTGTAACAACTGTCAACTTTGAATGTGGACAAAGTAGTTATTAGAAAAAATATGTTTACAGATCAATTTGTTCCTGTTCCATCAATATTTTTCATTGGAGATAATGGCACACCTTTAGAAATCATTGGTAATTCTCTACCTCCAGTAGACTTGAAAACTAAAATTGATTCTATCTTGGCAAAGGCCAATCCGAATTCCAGCAATACTTCTACAAATTTAATAGAAGCTGAACAAAAGGCACATTCCTCTGAAAATAATCAAACTAGTGAAACAGAAAGTAAAATAAGTTCTGAAATAAATAATACAAACAACGATGGTGCAGCAAGTGGTAATGTAGAGTCATCTGCAGCCCAATCTGCAGAAGATAAAGCGGCATTCGAAATTTCACAAGAGGTGAGAGAATCATGTTTTCAATTTATTTTTTTAATTGGATTGATTATAATGCAATGAGAAATAATTATGTGTGTTGTTGTAGGAGAAACTGAAAAGAGCCAGAGAGTTGATTGAAGTTCAAAAGAAAAAAAAGCAAGAAGAGGAGGAAAAAAAAGAAAGAGAAAGGGAAATTGAAAGGCGTAAAGTAGGCAGAGATCTCCAAAAACTGCGCCAACAGCAGCAAGATAAGGATATTAAAGATGCTCAGCAAGAAAGACTTCGAGAGAAAGCAGCTGAACAAGCTGCTAGAGAAAAAATATTGAAACAAATTGCTGAGGATAAATTGGAGCGCAAGAGGAAGCATGAAAAGCACTTGCAGGTGAGAAAAAAATTTTTTTTAGTTATGTTATTTCATTAAATGTTTACAAGGAACGCATAACTGCTCCTGTTCAATAAGAATATGTAAAAATAAACGTCAAAGTTAAACTGATGAACCAATTTTTTCTCTTAGGAAAAGAATGACCAGTTAGAACAAAAAAAAATCCAAGAGGAAGCTAAGGCCAAAGCCAAAGCGCAAGCTGCGTCTGTAGATATGTCCAAAACCAGAATTCAATTCAAATTACCAAATGGAAGTCCTATCCTTGGAACATTCGATTCAACGAGCACATTAGAAAGTTTAAGATCGTACGTCTTACAAAATGCCCAATTACCATTTCGTCAGTTCTCCATGTCGGCGTTTTTCCCGCGGAAGGACTTTACCGCCGCTGATGACAACAAGACTCTATTAGAACTAAATTTAGCTCCTTCATCAGTTATATTAATTTTACCCGTCAAATCTGTAAGCTAAATTTTTATATTTATAATAACATACTTTAATTTCTTTTTTTTTTTCATACATACGATACATTGCGTTTTCATTAAAACAAAAATGCTGCTTTTGTTAAACATCTGTCATTTTTGTTAATCTAATAAAGTAACGATTGGTAAAAAATTTTAACGATTTAATTAATTGCTATAAACCAATGGTCTTTATTACATTTGAGAATTTTTGAGCCACAAAGTCTTGTTTGAAAAAATAAAAATTGCTTAAAATATCTCACGAGCAGCAAAGATTTAAGGTTTGCAGTAATTTATAATGGAATCCCAGAATATTCACAAATATAGACTGAAAATCAATTTTCAACTTTTCCAAATTTTCTATAAACACGAAAATTAGTGCATTTACTTTGCTTGCCTTTAAATTGAAAAGAAAAAAGCAACTTCATCTGAAAAAATGACGGACATTTTAGCAAGAAATAAAAATTATTTCAGAATATTCCCACGTCCGTCATAAAATCTTCCGACGGTTCCGGCATATTTTCTCATTTCTTTTGGACACTTCTCGCTCCAGTAATGAGTATATACAATTACGTTATGGGATATTTTACTGGTAGACCTAGTGCGGGTGATTCTTCTAACAACGAAAACAGAAATTCAGGAAATTCGGCAAACTCTGACAGTGCTGGTGCTTCGTTTGGACGATTGCCTGATTTTGGAGTGAGGTTCGTATCAAGTAATAATTGATAAAAAGTTGAGTTTATAAAGATGACATTAATCTAACGATGAAATTGTCTATAATTTTTCAGAAGGTTGGATAATCAAGGAGCAAAGATTAGGGCTCGTGGCAATATACATTCTCTACGCGCTGATGACAATGATAATGACGAAAATAACACATGGAATGGTAACTCAACGCAACAGATGTAATTTATTAATTAACTTATGTTAAACAAAAAAAAATAGTACAATGATTTTTTTACGATAAAAATACAATTTACGTTATTCGTGAGTAACACAAATAACGATGTTGATTTTGAAGTGTTGGACAAATTGTATTTCTGAAAACAAACTGTAACTTGCAAAATTTTCAGAAAAAGTTTGAATGATTCTTTACTCACTATCTTAACTTGAATAATCATGGAAAAAAGAAAAAATTGGGTATTTGACGATCGTGATACGATACGATGCGAGAGTCGGTTACATAAGGGATGGATGCACGCAGTTTGTTAATAACATGTAAATTTATTCTTCATTCATGCAAAAATAAACAATAATTTATCAAAGTACACGTTAATAAAAAATCTTTTGTCTCGGTAAAATAAGAAAAAAAAAAAAAAAAAAATTCTGTCCCCGAAGAAGAAAAAAAAGCTTCACCCCTTGCGCTCATCGTTTACGAAACATTGACGCGTCGACTTGAAAGCCCTGCCCTCGCACTCGCGGCAGCCAGTTCTTAATTATCACTTTCTTAAAACTCCGAGGCGAGTCACTTGGCGCACGCAGCATACACTCATATATGTATAAATACGATGTTTGACAAAGGGGCGCCCCTCAAGAATTCGGCGAACCGAGTCCAGATCAATAAGGCACTCTTCATCGCGCGTTTCATCTTCTCTGCTCCAATTATGCACACGAGGCATTTCCCGAGGCCCAATAAATCAGAGGACAATTAATAGCTCTTGGCGGCACTTCAAACCGTAAATCTTTGGTAATTAACAATGTATTTTCCTCTTTTTTTTTTTTTTTTCATCCAAAGTCCTGCGACTTGCGACACTGATGGACAGCAGGAGGTGGACCCGACTCGTCGCATTGTCCCCGTAATTGGCTATTAGGAAGAGATTAAAATGGAAGGCGAAAAAAAAAAGAGGTAATGTTGTCTAAAATTACAAAAGAGAAGACGAAAACCGGTCGCTCTCTCGTACACCTGTCCGCGTAATGGAGGTTGAAAAATGTACCTTCGACGAAGACTAAACAAAGGATCGAGATATTAAAATTGGCACGATTTACCGATACGCACGGGGGGAGCCCACCTTGTCAACTTTCATGCATATCCCAATCAATGAAGTGCAAGTATAGGCAAATACACCTACTTATAAATGATAATTTTATACGTGGGGGTGTTTTTTCAGCGTGTAATAGAGGGAGCTTGCAACAGCATATATACATATACACATGCTCATCCAAATAAACGGTCATTAATCGGACAGGCGGTTCTCTCGGCCGCGGACGTGAATTTATGGCAGGCTCGTTACAGAGCGTTTAGAGGGAGAGAGAGTATAACAAGCAGAGTCCCATATTGTATATACATGTGTGAGCGAGTGCACGTGGTGCTCTGCCAAGTACCGCCCAAAATCTTGGTCGATTGGACGGACGGGGGCCCCCTCGCACGTGGCCCCGCCTCGAGAGCTTTTTGAGCTGCTGCCCGTAAGGGAGAGCAAAAAGATAAAAACAAGCAAAACAAAAAAAAAACAACAAAGCTCGCTGGGAAAGAAGCGTCGCGCGCGACGGGCCCGAGAATTCGTTAGTCGAAAGCTGCTAATCCCGAGATTAACAGGCCGATATCTCCCTGACGAAGGACAGTGATTGTTGTTGTTTTTGTCGGCTCATCGCTCTCTCGACAGTCGTATAGTGCCCAGTGCTTCGTTGGAGGGCGAGGATGGCCGAGGAAAGGGACAGCGGAGCCCAGGAGAAGGGTTCGGCCCATCCCGTGGAGGTGTACACCAGGGGCTCATCCACTTCCTTCAGTATAGAAAGGTTGCTGGCACCCGCGACCAAGGGTGCAGCCGATCTCGACCGGCAGAGCTCGTATCGCAACGCTTGCGACTATCCCGCGCACTCTTTAGATGGTACATATATGTATATATACTTATGTGGCCTTTTGACAAATATCATCTACTCTCGTTGGGGACAATTGCATTGGTTTTTTTTTCTATTTTCCGCCGATTCCCCGGGTTACAGTAGAAGAGCCGGAGGCATCCGGATTGTCCGTCCACCCCGACTCTTCGATGCTCGCCTCGGAGGATATGGAGTTTCAAGATATCGAAAGAGTGGGTTCCACCTCGTCGGAGCCGAAGATCATCGACGGTATATTGCACCTAACAATATTAAAAATCCCCGCAAGCACATCGAAATCTATAAAATCGAGCTTTTGCCGCGACGATGGCTCCGTGCGAGTGTTTATTACTGTATGCTTATAAGTATAAATGTACCCGGGATGCGGAAAGGTAGAGATAGAGAGCAAAGCTGGGGTCTCGGTACACGGCTGCGTGATTTTGATCCATGACTTCCTGCGAGTGGCCCACGCCCACTCAGTGTCGCGAGCGGGGCCCATCACCAGCGCGAAAGCTCCTTCTCCCCCCCCCCTCGTCTCTGCGCGCTATTTATCTGATGTCTTGGCAACTATACTTGTATATTATACCCTACACCTCTACTGTTTGTCTATATGTTTCCCTCTTTAGTTCCGGTGCCGGGACCCCATCAAACTCGCATTTGCATGAAACCAAGAGACAACAAAATCTCTGCCACGACATTCTCAACAATCTCAACTATATATATACACCTGTACCTATATATGCACGTTTTTTCCTATTGCGCCCGAAGAACTGTACAAACAAATTTAGTGGTCTCCGCCAAAGCGATCATCATTCGCGTCCATCGGAACGCGTGAAATAACTTGACGTTCGCCAAATTGCCTTTGCCCTCTCGCCAATTAGTGCACGGGGAAAATCGCGCGTGTATAAGGTATATTATAGGGTGAAAGGATGAGACACTCAATCAAGACCGAACATGCACGGGCGCGCGTCGCTGTACAGCCGTAAATTGCAATAAGAATTAAGAGGGGGGTGTATACAAAAATAACACGCATACGCGCGTAAAACAGGATTCCCTTGTTTGCGGGAAAAAGCCGTCGACTAATTTTCCCTCTTTCTCTTTTTTCCCCAGTGACAGTCCCGGTGTATACGTTACATGGACACGGGGAGGGTGTGTGCTCTCTCTCCTCGCCGGCGATAAATTCGCGATTCCCTTGTCTCGTGCGCGCAATTTTGCAGCGCCCGGGACCAAGACACGTTCTTCGGCCGTTACAAAGCCGTCAACGCGTCGCGTAAATCTCGCGTACACCCCAAGACTGCGCCGCGCGCACGTCCCATACTGTCCGCTTAATTGCTTTTCGATTTATTGTTGCGCCCCCGGTGTACGCGTACCTATGGAGAGTTAGCTAGCTGCCGGTATACCTACTCCTCTTCACTAAGAAAAATCACTTGATAAATCGGCCTGCTGTATGACCGTGTCGCTTGTCTGGTGCTTTCGCTTTTGCTCGAGAAAACCATTAGTCCGGGGGGTAGGTGCAGGGCGAGTTTTCTATAACCGGATCAATTGCACCGAGTCTTCATCCTTCAGCCGCCAAACTAATGGAAAGTCATTTATATATTATACTACCTATACTTTGCACATTCGATTCAAAACAAATCGTTTTTCAACCCTCGACGGGTAGAAAAAATAAAAAAATACCTTATTTTGTAGCGCTAATGCGCAATAGTTCTGTGTGAGCCATCCATACAATTTGGTACATGAAAATCGAGTGCATAAATTGGATAATTTTACCTTTTTTTTTTTTTTTACATCATGTCGCGTGGATTGTATTATTAGATCATACACCGTATCGTGAGTGTACAGTGAAGAGGAACCTGTGAACAAAATAAAACACATTGCACACACTAACACGTGACCTTTGAGTCTATTGGGTAGGGAGCAATAGCTTCTGATGTCTATATGGTACATGTACACTTATACAACATACAAAAAACCTAAACGTATAGGTACTATGTATACACGATAATAATAATACATACGGCACACGTGTGTAACGCTTGTAACTCGGCCGCAAAAGCAACGCAAACACACAAGGTAAGTATGTGTGTATACATCGCATAGATACACGCGAGGAGGCGAATGGAAAATTAGGGGCAGTGCAATCCGCGCGCGCGAAAGAGCCCCCCCCCCCCAATCCATTAATCACCGAATAATTAGGAGACAAGTTCAGCAGGGCGTAGGATAGGTATATAGCACCCAGCAATTAGGTAAACTACCAGGCGTGCGTGTGCGTGTTGTGCCACTATAGGTATATATATATACTTACGGCTTCTATTCCTGAACGTCCGACTTCTCTTGTTCCCTTCGTTATTGCCTACCACACTAGCTGCACTTCTCTGTAGGTATGTATATACGTATACTGCAGAGTGGAGGTTTGGTTGTTCATTTTTTTTTTTTTTTGCTTCAAGCTTTTACCGATCCACTAACGGCCCGGAGCTCGTCCATCAGGCGAGAGTCGATGGAAATTCGACGACAAACGAGCTGCCGAGGGAAACTCCTTGCGCTTCTCGCCCTTTTTTTTTTCTCCTCTTTTTTTTACCCCGTCCGCATGCTTTTTTTGTGTGATAAATACGCGTTTCCTCGTTGCCGGTGTTTGTTACAGAGCCGGTGCTATATTCGTCCGTTTTCTCGTGCACACCCATTGTGTATGGAGCAGTGGTCGAATGAGCTTTCGAAAGCTTATTTTTTGAGGCATCCCAAAATTTACCACTGGAAAAGATATTTCTTTTTTGTTCGTTATGCAAAAATAAGTTTTTGAATGGCAAATTCGGCACGGGGAGAAAAAGCAGATCTCGAGATCTTCTCTCCGACGCGAATAGTTTTTCGGGGGTATTTTTTGCACGAGTCGCATTGTTTTTAATATCATAAATAAAGGGAGAGCAGCGAGTGATGAGTTTTTTTTGGAATCCCAGCGATTGGTACATAATATACTTGGGTTGAAAAAAAAAAAATTTCTTTTTTCTCTTTTACTTTTTGTAAAAAACAAGATACATCGCAACTGAGTGGAAAAATAGACACAAAAATATAGCTATACAACCCTAAACGATCTATTTTTCTCGGATGCTTTAAAAAAGAAAATCGCTCATTAGCAGAGGTGAAAAAAGTAAGTACATGTATAAGCCGAGCGACAGCTCTCGTTTCTTCCTTATTCCCTCCACTCGATTCTTCAATATATATATACGTTTCGAACCAGTTTTTTGTAAAAAAAAAAAAAAAAAACCACAGTCAGCTGGCAAGTAAGCGATACTTAATTTTCAATTTTCGGGGGAGGACGCACCCCTCGCTTTCCATAAAATCCAGCAGCGCGTGTATTTGTCAAAGTACAGCCGCGCAGCGGTATATAATATAAGACCAGAGCAGGATGTAGCTTTCGCGTCCGCTCAATTCCAACGCGTGTGCCCTGTGTATATATTTATGTATCACCTATACACCGGCACGTTGAGCTCGAGCGGCCACCAAAAAACGATGATTACAAGTAATATCCCCCCACCCCCCTCCCCAGAGTCGATGAAGCAATCACACGCGGCTTTGCTCGGCGGCAGCGCGAAATACGAGAAATTGGCCGTGTCTTCGTTAGAGAGCCCCCGCTCTTTCTTCCCTCTCCAAACCGAGAGTCGGAGATGACGAATGGCCAGATAATTAGAGGACGATACCGAGAGCTTTAAAGCTCGGCGAGGTTGGCTCGCGGCGGCTGACACGCCTACCCGCGCCATCGGTACCTATACACATATACACGACAAACCATATCGAGAGTACATATAAAGAACCCTCGCGCTCAGTGTATACATACATCCTTTAACCGCGTATGGGGAGATTGATGAGGCTGGAAATTCTTCGGGCTAATCGGGCCGCTCTATTCCGTGGTTGAGCGTGCCACCCCATCGTTTGTCTCTTTCTCTGCGCTTTAGTTACACCAATGGCTGTTATACCCGATCATTTTCGTGCCTGGACCAACGAATGCAATTGTGTTTTTTTTTTTTTTTTTTTTCATTTCACCCGTATGGCGGTCCGCAGAGGCGTGCACGAGCGTGAGTTACGGGGCCAACTCGACCTCGGCGCTGGAGCTGAGCGACCGGGAGCTGCCGGAACGGAGCTCCAGCGCGGCCAGCGACGACGAGAGGAAGAAACGGCCGCGCACCGCCTTCACCGCCGCGCAAATCAAGTCCCTCGAGGCGGAGTTCGAGAGGAACAAGTACCTCAGCGTCGCCAAGAGGCTGCAGCTCAGCAAGGCCCTCAAGCTCACCGAGACTCAGGTATAGTGTTTCCTCTTTTATTCCTACACTCGATCGAATACATCCCTCGTTGGTCACGCGTTTTTATATTACAATCAGTCTTCCTCGAAAGTGTCCCACCGAAAGAGGGTGTAGTATAAAAACGAAAGGGGAAGGGGGGGAGGAGAGAAAAAGCTGGTAAAATGATGCATGCGAATTAAAAAGCTCATTCAGCGCCGCGCTAATACGGCCCGAGGGTAAAAAAAAAAAAGCGCCCGAGACCCTCCCTTCCCCCGCAGAGTTGTAATATACCCACGCCACCTGAAGAAATTTATAACAGTACTGCGGGTTTGAGGGGACGCCTCCGCTCTCGAGTTTTCGGAACGAAGGGGGTGAAAAAAAAAAAAAAAAAAAAATTGGTCGCCTCCTCCCAAGTTGAATTATGGGTCCCCCTCGCGAACACGTGCGGTGGGAGACTAGGCGCCACGGAACAGCGGCGCCATGGAAGCGCGCGAGCATATCATACAGTCGCGACTTGATCGTAAGACCAATTAGCACCTCGAAACTCTCACCCTCCCCCCCCTCCCGCTTCTCGCCTGTATATATAGAGAAGCGTGCCGTCGATTCCTCCTCTTTCAGGTACACGCGCATCACTTGATAGCGCGTACATAATATACGATCGCGCGGAGGCGGGGCTGGAAACTTGGCGACAAATCATCTCCCCCCCTCTTCCGTAAACATGTATAGCTCTGGAATACAGAGAAAAATGCGCGTATAAATAACCGATGCGCCATCATTCGTTGCATTAATCAGTTGCATCTGTTGGCGTCGGGGGGAACAAAAAAAAGTGCCTCTACCTGGAAACTGCGGGAGTTCCGTGAGAACCAGCGTATATTATGTGCGTATCGGCGTAAGCATTTTAACCCTGCATAGTTGAAATTAGTTGCAAGTAGTGCACGGGAGTGTGGGGGGGGGGGGCTTTGGATGATTGTCGGAGCTGCTTAAACTCGAGAGGAGCCGACGTGGGCTTTTGTCAAGGAAGGTGACGCGTCAGTGTATATAGATCAGAGAGAGTACGAACGAATGGGCGGTGGAGGCGCGGGGGCATAAATGTCACGATATTTCTCCGACTTAACGAGCCGCGCGTCCGCGTGTGTACCTTATTATACCCATGGGAAAGAGCCCGGAGGCGACGGACCAAAGAGGCGTCGATTTTTTAATTAGGATATATTGCGCCCGGTCCATTTGCGGAGAACTGCGAGCCCGGAGTTGGGCTTTTTCACCCCGCGAGACCCATCAACTTTGGGGTTTTTTTTTTCTTTCTTTCGTTTTTCGGCGCGACGACGACGACGCGCAAAAACGCGAGACGGCAAGTGCGATTTTCAAGCGTATGACGCTTCCGAAAGACACTCGCTGAGATCTCTATTAGCGCTAGCCGACTCTTCACCTCGACGATGTATATATGCATGTACGTGCCTACTCTTCTTCGCTTCGGTAATTACCGGGGGTCGCCTTTTTGTTTCCAATTTTAACTTTACAAAAAAAAAAAAAAAAAAAAAAAACAAACATACGCGCTGATAGAGTTCTATGGTTTGTCATGCTTTGTGCGTTCAATTGTGTGACTAAAAAAACAATGTCCACCGATAATTCGTTTATGTTAACAATATCAAGTGAATAAAAAATTAATATGGTGGATTCAAGCAACCCTCGGTTGATTAGCATAAGTGCAAAAATACTTGCCCCGGGTGAGGATCGAACTCACGACCTTAAGATTATGAGACTTACGCGCTGCCATCTGCGCTACCGAGGCCATGTTTGCCAGGCATCTGATGACGTTTATGAAGCTACTACCAAAGTTTGAGAAAAATAATTGATTTAAAAGGCAACTTTTTGTTAAAATTTTTGTTTGTTTGTCAAGTACTTTAGTTCAACTGTTATTGACTTATCGTTACGTGTATTTTTTTTAATATCTATAATTTTTTAACTATTCCCGTGTAATTTATTACTCACAATATTGTTTATTCGCAAGTAATTCAGCTGCAAAGTTGTTGCATAACGTTGACTCTCTGTGTTATCTATTGCAGATAAAAATATGGTTTCAAAACAGGAGAACAAAGTGGAAAAGAAAATACACAAACGACGTGGAACTTTTGGCCCAGCAATATTACTCTAATCTAGGGATTCATGCTCCCAGGCCGATATTTGTTGGGGACAGATTGTGGTAATTTTTGTTATCGATATTAAAATTCCTTTAAAAATGTGTTTCGAATACATGTCTGCCATGCTTTCATTGATCCAGGTTTTTCAACTATCCTGGACACTCTCAGCCAGGAACATCTCTATTACCGGCACATTTTTCGCCACTGACTATTTCACCGACTCTACCGGTAATACAACCCTTACCAAGCAATATTCCATCAAGTGGACAGCATCACTCTGTTTTTCAAAACATATCATCTAGTCACACAAATTACAATCTTAATCAAAGATTAGACTACAGGCATCAGAACTCTTAATTTTTTTTAATTGATTATTTTATGTTTTTTACCATCAATGAATGTTAACGTGAGAATATTCAGTGTTATTTACGAAAAAACTGTTAAGAAAGTTGAAAAATTAAATATTTTTTGAAAGTTTGATAAATTTTGTAAGCTGTGATATTTTTCTAATGAAAATTGTGTATGGGACTACATATCTGCAAAACGAATAATTAAAAAAGTATTATTTTGCAGTAAAAAATTTGCCAATTATAAAAAATCACTATTTTATTTAAAATTCATAAAATAAAAAAATACTATATTTACAAAGCACCCGGAGACTGTACTTTCGTAACTCCTAAAATTTTTTCATCGTTAGCAGCTTGACTCTTGACAATTTGTGCATACTTTTGGTTATCTAAAAAATCTTCTTCGTCTATCATTTCCTGCATCCTTCGCTTATACCTAAAATAATTTTAAAAAAATTTAAGAATGTGTACTTCATGAGAAAGGATTATTCTTATATTTACTCACACTTCACTGTCAGGATTATTATCTTGATTTCTACAATTTTCTAGTTTTTTTTCTAATTTCTTTACCAGTTCTCTCTGGGGCATTTCTACTAATTTGGCCATTGACCTTATTTCTGCAATTCATAAAAATGTAATAAATGTTCAGTATTATTTTTTAAATTTTTGTAAGAAAAAATTTTTAATTACTTCTCACAGCCTCAACAATCGCTGCTAAATGTTCTCTGGAAAATAAAATATCTGTAACGTAGTTGTCTAGATTTGCATTCACACTTGAAGCAGCATGCAATGTGGCCGCTAAAGCAATTTGACTTGGAGCATAAAGTAAGACGCTGTCGGTCAAAAATACTTTTTCTAAAAAGTCGTCAATATGAGGTCTCAAAATTTCGGAATTTTTTATAGATGTGTACCTAGTCTATCAATGAAATAAGAAAACGATTCAATGCTTGATCGACTTATCTTATACATTTGATTATCATCTTACAAACCTTAATATCAATTAAAAGTCCTTCAACAGGTCTAAATGGATTGTGAACTGTCAAATTATAGTTCAGCTGTTGCATTAACAAAAGTTCATTATTTATAATAATATCGGAAGCTTTTTCCCGGTCTCCCATAATATTGGCAACAAACTGTGATATGGAAACGTTGAATTCTTCGACCTAGTTGTAAAGCAGCATTAACTACTAAATCTTTTAAAATAATTATTTAATCATCGTAACACTACTTACCTTGCAAGCTAAGTACACACAAGTGACTAAAATTTCTTTTGGATGATAATCCATAACACTGTTCCTCAGGTAAAATCTTTTGAAGTAGTGTAGAGCTGTGGCAATAGTTGACTTTGGCATGGGTGGTGTAAACCTTTTGCAAAACTCTTTGAGCTGCGACTCGTAAAACCTTTGAAGTATTCTCTCCTCTGCCACGGATAAAAAATGTTTTTCTCTCTTATCTCCCTAGAAAAACAGAAAAATCACGAAAAATTCATTAATATATAACCTTAAATTTGTTGTGATCACATGTGAGAAGATAAACAGATTATGTGGCATTCAAGTTCATATTGAGATTCAAGAAAATTTTACTATGGAAAAATCGATTGTTTAAAAAACACTTACCGACACATCCGCTCCGTGCTTTGCAATAAATTCAGCATTTGCCTCTTCTCGAAGGGTTGAAAGATCATTTTCATCATTGAAGAGCCAGAACTTTTTCTGCGAACTTGCCGGAAACATCTTAAGATTAATTTAGTTTAAATACTTAGCAATTTCATGAGTACACGTAAATAATTGTAATAAATTTTCAATTTTTAATGAAACAAGAGCTGCTCGCTTATTTGTGCTCTCCGATATCAACAGACAGACAGCAGACAGCCAGACAGCTGAGGGAGGCTGAAATTACTAGGTTCGTTCAAGCCTGGTTCGGTTCGGTCGGTTCTGGAACCAAAAAACATAAAAAAACACCCGTTCACGAGAGGTCCGAGGTGGTCGGTTCTAGAACCAAATTCTCGTAAATACGTGTTTTTTTATGTGTTTTGGTCCCAGAACCGACCGAACCAAGGGGGGCTTGAACGAACCTAGTGGGTCTGTGGAGGGGGGAGGTAGGTATAATTTTTTAATTGAAATTTGCAGTGCAGAAATTTAAATGTAAAATTAAAAAATTACTGCATTTCATGTATGTGACGAGTGGATAAATTTCTAATTTTAACCATCATCGATGGAGTTTTCCATTAAAAATATTCTCACCATGGCGGATCGAAAAATCAGTTTTCAACTGGTCCATGCAAATTTTTTGTGTTTCTGCATGAAAAAAAAAAAAAAAATCCAGTCCGTCAACTTAAACAAATTACTCTTTTTCTCGATGATATATATTTTTAAATAAGTGAAAAGTTTCTCAAAAACAATTGATTATGCACAACATAACAGGCGAATGCCAGAGAGCTATAATTGTATAAATGTTAAGTACTTACCGTTAACTTGCAAAAAAATAAGCCAATAACTAAATAAATAAATACGTTCATACGTTGTGATATCTTCTATAAATAATGGTGGCAACTTCATTACATCATTACATGATAAAAAAAATTATATAAAATTGACTACGTAACACATAATCAAAAAAGTTTTTTTATTTTGCTGTAGAGAAATTTAAAGATGAAAAAATGATTATTTCCAATCTTTTGAAACTAATACTGTAGTTTGTAATTCAAATTAAGGTGATTTCTGTACGAATAATTTGGAAAATCACTAGTGGTAAAAAAATCAACTTTTTCATGAAAAATTTATTCGACCACCGTATTATCGATATCCATCGACGCTTTTTTTAAAGCTAACATAAAAATTAAAAATAAATATTATATGCTATATTGATGTTAGCTGTTGCCAATAGGGTATTTATGATATAATAATAAAACTGCTTTAGTCAACATACGTGAATCAAATTGTAGTTTATTTACAAGAATGTCTTATTTATTACATATTCTTAACTGTAGTTATCCAGCAACTTGAGCAACAATTTCTGAAGGATTTCATTTGAGGGATTGTTTCAACTATTCATTCACTATAGTGTAAGTATAGTTTGATCACGTTTACTTAGTCATTAAATTTTTAAGTTTTTTTGGTTTTCTTTTTTTCCAAGATTTTAAGTATTGCTTAGATTTAAAAATGATTAGCTAGAGGTTAAGCTTTTCAAACATATCATCACACGAATATGTAAAAATGCTCATTACATGTTTTATCCCTTAAAAGCATACTTATGGATAGTTTGGTAAGAATTGATCGAGAAAAATCCAATTCCAGTCGCGCGGGGGAGCGCTACGATGTAAGTTCGACAAGTAATTACTCGAACGCAAATGAAAAAACACTGACAACTAATCGTCACAGAGCTTTTTGGAAATTTTTAATTGCATACATTGTCAACCTCCAAGTCCGAACAATAATTTCAAAATCTATTTTTCTTGACCATTACTTATGAGAAAACAAATTTTTATTAAATATTATAACTCCTGAATAATTTGAATACAGATTAATGGAATCTTTTTATAAATACATGGACACACACACACGCAAATTTGAAAAATTGTCATAATCATCAATTATTGTTTGTTATACCATTTAAAAATGTTATTAATAAGATACTATTATCGGCCAACACAAAGTTTCGTCTATAAAATGAAATGCAGACTTTGTGTACACAATACATAATTATAAATAAAAATGTTAAATTTCCAAGAATAGTTTATAATTTATTAACCAATACGCGCGCATGTTGATCGCTTTTTTAAGACATTGAAAAGTATAAAGAGGTATAACACGGGAGGATTTTGTAAGGAAATTGCATCCACATGCGCGATTTATTTTTTTTGCAAAAAAAGAAACTTTTTAGGAACTAACAAAATAGCTGGAACTACACGATTCTTTTGACACGCACCGTTAAGCCATGCATCTTCTGTCTCGTTTTCGTTGTTAACTATTCCTTATACTCCAATCACACATCAATAATATTCACATAGGAATCAATGAATAATAAATAATACACCAATAATGCACTTTTACAACAAATCTAACACAGCAATCCAGTCGCTAGTAACCCAATTTCGTCCAATAGAAACATCTTAATATGTATGTCAAAAACAACAACGACAACAACGTATCTCATATGAATTTGAGAATAAGTTAATAAGTATGGATATTTTGCGACGCAAAAGTGCACGCACGTATATGGATGTAAGTAGTCGCGATGGCCGCTTCGACTGCATAATATTACACTTCGTTAGATACTTCAAGGTGGAAAATGCATGAATACGAATAAAATATCTAGATGTACCAAAAAGCACAAAATGAGGGGTGGGGGGAGCGAAACACGATTTGATTCATTCTTACTGCAGCATAGGTATATCATGGACGATGCATTTGTCATTAACTAGCTATAGATTAAAAATTGGTATCTTTTAACAGTTTGAAAGACCTATGTGCACTTGTGAACAGGTAATACAACGTTAGGCAGAATTTGCACTTTCCCCGCGTTTCGTGCTCTTTATGGTCCCCCAATGGCATCGAAGCTTGCAGTGCCGAGGACCGAATATACATTGTTCGAGAAAAGTAAAAGTTATCAATTCATATAGTTAATTTCCATGTACCTATATTTGCTCCGTGCAAGTCTTGGGAGGGTCTATATCGCGTACTTAGTTCTATTGTATTTGCTTTGAAACAACTGTAGCGCCACTCACTCTCAACCTATTAACTGACCAAATGAGTGGACTCCTTTGGCACGAACTCGGCCGAAGTGAAGGCATTTCAGGAGAGCGGTAACTCAAGTACTTAGCACCGTAAAAGGAAGAAATAACTTGCCTTTTGCGAGTCAGTCAAGCGCTCGTGCCAAAGAGAGTGGAGATTCACTCGGTCAGTTACAGCGCGGCTATTCTTCCCGCGCGCAATGAGATTTAAGTAATACGGGGTTGGGTTTTATTGGTATGGAGGGATTAAATGAGGCCGGCGTTTCGCTTACGCGGAGCAAATATTTGTGTGCAGTTCGTTTTTTCATTGTCCATTGTTACTCCATGTACAGGTTATTAGTGCATGTGGTGACATTTTTTTTTTTTCTTATTTGGTTTTTTTCCTTTTTTGTTTTTTCAAAGTGCATTACACAACAGCAAACATCCCTCAATTATCATCTATATATATTATATAAACATATCTTTTGAAATGAGTTATTCGTATATCATTTATATAATATATTTATAAATTCGTAATACAGATTATGCAAACGTACGTTTTCACGCGTATGTATAATATATAATATAATTATTTATTTCTAAACATACTACCGACACTGACTTATCAACAGAATAAATTTTTTTTTTTTTTTTTTTTTTTTTTTCATTCAATATTATCGACTGCTTGCTTGTCTTGAACTTTGCAAGCAACAGTCATTAAAAATAGTCTAGCAAAGTCACTTTTCAGAAGATATTATTTAAAATATAGTTGATGCATATAAATATATTACATATGCAACGTGTGTATTACTTAATTCTTGCAAAAAGTTTTTACAGGAAAAACAAAATCATGACAAGCTCATAAGTAACTGATGGATCTAGTAACGTGCGCGCGATCTCTTGACCAGCGCTTCTGTAAATATCCGCTTTGCTCGTTTGTTCCTCTTGGGTTATATAATAATAGCGTTCTTTTAAAACTCAAGTTTGCAAAGTAAACGGCAACGCTTCTGTAACCGAAACCTACAAGGTAAAGTTTGAAAATCCTGAAATTAAAAGCTGAGTAATGATATGAACTGATAAAGCTGCCATTTACTCGACAAACTTGAGTTTCTGAACGCAGCCTTGGTCTGGTTGCGAAGTATCACATTGTAAATCAAGCACAACGGCATGCATATTTGTAATAACTACTTGAAAGGTTCGAACAAACGTGCCAGCCACGGCCGTCAATGGAAATCAAGTTATACCCCAAAAGGAATCATGAATAAGCTTGTTGTAATAATCCAAACATAAATTATGCTCATGCCGTTGTTTGATTTAACCAATGGTATTTCTTAATACATGTTACGAAACTTATTAAAAATTATTAAGTAATTATTGAAGTAAGACAAAGGAAAACAATTTATTATGTGTGCTTTAGTATAACTTATGACATGAAGGTACCATAGAATGTAATAAATATAGCTCATCCCCACTTATTGTGTCGCAGGACTCCTTAGTGCTAAGCTAAAACAATTTTACGTTTGAAGTTTAGATGTTTTTCAAGCAAAGCGACCATTGTTTAGGGCCCAGAACCTAAAAATTTTCAAATAAATGCACCAATTTATTTGATCCTGCCATTCATATTGATTGGGTATAGTCGTGCCGACGTGGCATTCAGAAAGTTGAGATTGCTGTTTTACTTTCTCGATCGGCTTTGAAACTAAGTTTTTTTTTTCATCTAGCAAACACTTATGGCAGCAACTTTGATTTATTTTAAAACAACGTATATCTAAAAGTGTTTGGGATGACGCGTAAAGTAATAAGAAAATATGTATTATATTTAAATAACAACCGTGTAACGGTATTGTTAATTATTTTAAAAAAAATCAACGCACTGTAGTATGATAGGGAGTTGAAAATCCAAAACATTTTGCCACTTGAAAACCCGCTTATTTACTCGAGCCAAGAAAAATATAGACTAATTCTATTAGAGAGATGGTCTTTCTACGCAAAATTTGGAAAGTATACGTATTGTACGTGTTTTTTTTTCTTCTTTGTAAATATATTTTTATGTTGATTGAATTTCCAATAAATTATTTACTTTATATTTTGTTTCGAGTTCTAAATGATTGGACAAAAGTTAAGTCATGGCTTACGATGTGACAGTTGTGTTAAGTAATTTTATCGTTGAATCTTCAATTTGATGATGACTACCACTTGTTTACTCCGGGACTGGCCGTCAAGTCAGGATTCACAAATGGATTTGTAGAAGCTATTTTGCAAAGTAAATTATACCTTTAGTTCATCGACTCACGTAAATATATATTTTATAGAATAATAAATAAATTCAAAAAAATGTACACTGAATTTTTTTTTAAATAAACAAAACATGTAAGTCTAATGCAATCACTCATGCACACTAAAAAAAAAAAAAAAATAATTAAATGCATTTTATAATGTAAAATTTTTCTTCATTTACTTAATAAAAATTTAACTTATGTGGTGTAAGGGTTGAAAAATCAATAAAACCAATCGTGTGAATTAAACTGCGAATTATTTAGTTTAATTAAAGCAAGTAGTTGCGTACAAAGTTTTTCTTATGAATACAACGAAATACAACTTATTTAAAACGAGTTGTTTGGTATGCTTAGACTATTTTACAACTATTGATGGAATCAATTAGATGCATTTTCCCAGATATCATTACGAAAAATAAATAAATCATGTACTTGAGGGAAAACTCAAAGTTGCACTTTTCTAAAAAGCTCTAAGATCAAGAATACTTTACGCAACAGAATAGTTTTTAAATAAAATTTTTTTTGACATTTTGTTTAATTCAATGATCTTAACAAATATACTTTTCTTAGCTTTTAAAAATTATGTTCAACAATATTGAGTAACGGAAAAACTGCAATTGCCAAATGTGAAGAAAAACTTTGATGTACCAAGTTCATTATAATGTAGGGGTAAATGACCCAATTACTGCGCACTGAAATTTTTGATTGTACTAAATTTCTCATTTCTCAATGTTTTTCGATGTAAATTGAACCAGTTTTACTTAACCTTTATCTGCAGTATCTTGTGCGATTAAAACGACAAGCATTTTTCTGTTAAGTAACTTTTTTTTTTTTTAAATAATTGTTTTAGTGCTGATATCACTTGCTGGTATTACTGCGCACGATTATGAAATTAGCACCAGTCGCTGCGCCCCCAATTACTGCGCGGGTATCTCCCATAAGGTTTTCATGCTGAAGCCCTAGACCCAATTGCTACGCACCAATCACTATGCACGACTACAAAGTTTTGTAGGTTAAATTCGTTTAGAGTCATTCAGTTAAACAATTATAAATGTAAATAATGTAAAGTATGATTCTGGATTAAACGTTAAATGTCCGTACGTGTTACAATATCCAAGCAGTCTGTTTTTCTTATTTTCAGTTACCGTCGAGTGCGCAGTAATTGGTGTCTGCGCAGTAATTGGGTCATTTACCCCTAGATTATTCAAGGAGCGTTATTGGTGCGCTATATTTTGTATGAAATTTTAGTATTTACAAATAAGTAGCTGCGTAAAATAACCGCTTAGTCAACAAAAATGTTGGTAATAGTGATGATAATTATAACTAGACAAATAGAAAGGCAAAATTCATCTTTGATTTGCATATATACAACGACGAGGGTGTAAATGCATGACCGGTGCACGTATGTCAGTTTTTTTTTTTTTTTTTTTTTTTTCAGCCCCTTTGCAAGTCTCGGTATTATTATTTTTTGTTTCCTTGTTGAATCAACTTTTTACGTATTCCATTTGATTCGTATCACCTATTCCTCGAGAAAAGCTTGAATGATAATCGTGATGAAAGGTATAAAAAAAAATCAAAAACGACAAACGCATGCCAACAGGTAACTACTACAGAGTACAATAATAAATAAAAAAAAAATAAAAAAAATCGCGAGGTTTGTTGTTCGAATGATAGTCTGCAGGAAGCTAAAGAGTAAAAGTTTTAATAATAATAGTAGCTATATATAGCAACAGCAGTAAAAATGGTAGTGGTGGTTTTGACGTTATGACTGCGTCACTGTGGAGGAAAAAGTGAAGTGTCGAGAGCGAGTGCATGGCAATTCAATAGCTAGAAATACCAGGGGTGTAGACAACGCGTTCTCGGCCACTGTTCAAGTTTGTATTTTCGTCAGCCTGGGCCGGCGGAGGCATTGCGAACGCAAGCGGTTGGCTTCCCTGTCCTGGAACCTGAGATGCATTGCTCTGTGGCTGGGACGTCACCGCATCAAGGTCACTTTCCTCCCCCTCCTCCTCCTGTTTACAGAAAGCAAACGCAATCGATTAGCTGTTTTATCCATCTACTTTTTCTTTGTCACACTATCGTTGTTGGAAATCCATAACAATATATTTATTATTGTTTTTGTCGTCATCATTAAGATCCTCGTTCTTCTATTGTCAATAAATATACTATCATTCTTATTTTTATTTTTCTAAGCAATATAAACAACGAAATAAAAAAACAATTGAAAAAAAAAAAAAAACAAAGAATGAAAAAACTTGCAAGTAGATTGTTTTTTTCTCATTAAGTAAATGTGGATGTGAGTGGCTCGAACTCAAAGCCATCAATGGAAATTTAAGGTCCAACAGTAATCAAGTGATAGTAGTGCAGATACACGCAAAGCAGACGAGGTTAATGTACGTTGGTGTTAATAAAGCAGTAACAGTTAAAGGATCGGCACGAATAGCACACTAGTTAGTTATATTTTCGTGTGATTCTAGCATCAGAACGTGATTTTTTTTTGATACAAAATAATATAGTCTAGCCAGCGAATCATCGCGTCTTACGTGCGATAGGCTTGATGTCGCGTCATTTTCAATCGATTTTCTATGTATCACCCATGTAATCATGCGTTGATTTCCACTCTGAAATTAGTACGTTATTTACTAGCCTTTAACGATTAAAAAATAAAGGTTGCTATTTTTTTTTTTTTTTTTTTTTTTTTTTTTTTTTTTTTTTTTTCTCAAGTAAAACATGTTTCAACTTACCTGTCACCATCTTTTTTATATCATTGACATGGTGTAGAGTGAAGAATCGTAATGTAATAAATAAAGTAAATATGTTTAGAGAAGGATTTTTGAAAGTGAATAGAGTTAAATTTAACTATATGATGAAAAGTGATGACTACAAGTACTAGTGAATTTTCAAATGAGTGGAAATAGGCTGCGGCGTATTACAATTCATAATCAATGAAATTAATGAAGAACAATAGTTAATGTAATGATCCCCCGCCCCCACATTTCTTGATCCACCCATGGCCAATAGTCCTGGGTTCTGACAATGAATTAATTAACAAATGACTTGAGTTAGTAACAGGGCAAGAAAAATAATTAGCAATTTTGCATGCAAACTTTGGTTAGTTAAGCAAAACAGGATGCACGTAATAAAAACTTACGAACACTTTGAGGTTGACTTGATATTACGTCGCCTTCTGGATTATTCTGGTTCCGCTATAATACAACAATAACATGAACAAAACTGCTAATTGCTATGCGTTTTATCAAAATAATAGGCTTGGCATGCTTGGCAATGGCTATAAATGTTTATGTTCAATTGGTTCTGTATTTTTTTCTAAACTTGCAACTTACAGTAAATCATCGACCAAATCGCGATTAAGTAACAACGAAAATGAGCGAATCATAAATTAATGGTGGAATGAAAGTAATTATGTACAGCTAAATGATTTTTAACTAAAAATTTTCGATCACGTGAATTTGTTTTGAATCAATAATATGGTGACTATCTAGTTAGGATAAATTTTGTGACAAAATAAAACGTAATGTTGAAGATATCAAATGACTCAGTGCCAAGAATGCATTGCCAAAATGAATTGTGATGAATTGAAGACGTTAATTTTTTGAAATAGTGATTATAAACTTGCACATCCATTTCGCAAAAATATTTCTTTCCAAACAATTAACGTCTTGTTCAATGAATAATTTAGTAATCTAAATGAAAAATCGTGATTGTTAACTCTATGTCTATTACTTCATCTTTCTCTACCAAAAGCTAAATGTAAAATTATTGTATGAAAATGAACGTTTGGTTGCTGATGATACACGAAACTTTGTAATATCTTGTGATGACATCAAAGGATTCTGCTTAAACAATGTATGAAAAAAATCACTAAGTAACAATTATTGATCAAAATGACTTGAATTACGCAAGCTTATGAGAATCGATACGAATTTCAAAATGAAATTGACAACTTCGATTTTATATAACACAATGAGAAAATTAATCGTGTACATTTACGTATGAAAAGAAGTTAAAAAATAAATAAATAAAAACGTGCCAAATGATAACCAGATAAGATCAATACAGGTCGTTTAAAGAGGTTCATGCGTGAAATGATTGTGAACGAAATAAAATGAAACTCTATAAGTTAGAGATGAAAATATATGCTTTTTCTAATTTTTTAGATATGGTCGTTGGGCCAAAACGCGAGAAAAAACCTTTTTGAAAATAGAGGTTTTAATATGGTGCACGTATGTCAGTTTTTTTTTTTTTTTTTTTTTTTTTTTTTTTTTTTTTTTTTTTTACTCCAGTGTGTAGGTGTTGGTCATAATCTTGAGTCGTAAAATGGAGGGAATGCCGTGTTTTAAAATTTTATAATATTTTAATTTATTTAATAAGCTTTACTAATGAAGAATCGTGCAAATTTTGATATTTTTAACAATAATCTATTAGTAGTTGTGCATTTAATGGAGCCAAGTGTGAACGGTCTTGATAAAATGATGCAAGTTGATTAAAATTGTTTCCCATAACCATTGCTCAGAAAATATAAACTAAAAACATACTAAGAACAGTTACTGCAGTGTAGATCCAGCAAATTTCTCAAGCAGTGACAAATATGAAGCAAAACAATTTTTATCCAATAAATCGTAGTTTTTTTTTTTTGTACATATTTTTTTTACGCTCGTGCAAAAACATGCATAACTATGATCAAACTATTAAAAAAGCATATATAGAATATACATACGGATTTTCGCCTTTACCAATTCGTAACTGAAATTTTCCCTAGAGGTAGCATAGTTTTATTACAAATACAAATAAATGGTAACAGCAAGAAACATGACAGAGAGACCGTACAACGATACGTGCAAATATATTATACGCGTGAATGTCATCCTAGTCGTCGAGCTCTTTTAGTTTATCTATCATTTATTGTAGACTTAATAATAGTCTGGGAATTTAAGAAATGATTGAACTGTCAGGTATAGCACTGCGGGTACGTAAAAAGGTAACCACAGAATAAGCAAAAACCGTGCCATCAGCTACCAATAAAAAGAAACATTCAAATTGATAAAATCATGTTGATGATGTGGATTAGATCACCAAGTTAGACTAGATTACAACGGGGGAAAATAAATTAATCCTCACGTGTAAATTGTGATAAGCTCCACTGTCCTCTGGATGTTGAGGTTTGCATTTGCCACAACAGAAATTGCAACAGCAACAAAAGCAGCAACAACAGTAGCATCCAGTAATAACACCACAGAACAAGAAGAACATCTGTAAAATTTTAATACGTAAATTAAAATAAAGGTCATAATGAAAATCGCACTACACGCGCCCAAATAAGAGTACCTTGGTCCATTTTGAGGTAATGACAAAGTATGCATTAACATTTTCTTCTCCAAATTGTTCAGCAACATAAAGTCCAAGTGATCCATAATTGTCGTATATATTACGTTTGGTTAAATCAGTTAATATAATCCTTGCTCTATTGATTTCTTTGAACTAAAAATGTGGAAATCCTTACGTTGAAAGAAATATTCTAACACGATACATGTCATGAAAAAAATACATAAACTAAGAAAACGAGGTTTCAAAATTTACCTTTTCAGCTGCTTCAGGATTATTGGGATTTTTATCAGGATGATATTTAAGTGCTAGTTTCCGATAAGTTTTCTTTATGTCTTCAGGTGTGGCAGTTTTTGGAATTTCGAGAATAGCATAGAGAGAGTCCCCGGATGTGCTAAAATAAAAAATAAAAAAATATAATAACATAAAATTATAATAAAGCTGACGATGTTGATTGAATTATAAAAATAATTTAAATAATAGTTATGGGATTAGATTTAAAAAATATTGAGAGTGGTATTACAAAGTTACTACCAAAGTGGGTCATAATTATGATTATTATTGATAACAGGTAGTTTGGAGTAAACCTGACTTGTTGTTTTCCTCAATTACCTATTCAATTACTTTTTCGTATAAGTATATTACTGAACATGTATATATCATTTGTATCATCTTGCCTAAACATGTCTCTAGTGTATTTGTATTATTTGCATTTGCATAGGTATGCGTATTCTTTAAATGCTCTGTTGGCATTGTTGCTGCAGCAGCAGTGGTTGACTCATCGACCACGTATTTTCATGTAAGTAAGTATGTCGTTATAAAGCGAGAAAAATTAAAGCTGAGTTAGCACTGTCCAAATTCGATCGTAATAAACTCATTCAAGCTTGCAGCGAATGGGCAAAAAACACCTGTATTTACGTACCTACGTACATTTGCTATTAATGTGCTGTTAACGTTAAAATGGAGCGTACAAGCACTCTCGTTTCAACATATATTTTCGCAATTCCAAGTATGTGTCACCATTTTGCCGACAATTGAAACTGTATATCCAACTCGGCGTAAAGTCTCTAGAGTAAGATGCAACGTAAGTAGGCACTTACGTGAATGGGGGAAAAAAAAAAAATACGCCATTGACACCGAGCTGCTGATTAAATTTTAATAACATCGAAAACGGCTCGATGATGATGGCATCATGTTTTGACCTTGTCAATTTTATAACGCTCGCCTCACGGTTGGAATACCTAACAGGTACTACTGAGTCCTCGTAATCTCTATATCTGGTTACTCCCTACATGTCTCTAACCTTCAAATGAACGAAACTTGCGATACAAGAAGTTATGACGAGCTTGCATCGATATTCGAAAAGCACAAGTACGAAATACTAATATTATGTTTCAAGTTCAACCTACGAATATCTATTTACTTAAATACAAGTGACCTATGAAAGCAACCAATTAGTCTAAATAAATGTCAGTAGGTGTTGCACAGGGTTGAATATGTAGAGCTTAAACATCCTTACGAAAGCTTTCTTCTGTCCATGTTGGACTGGGTCTGCTGTTGCCTTGGATCCGAAGGATTCGTTTGAGGCCCGCGGGCCTGCTGCTGCTGCTCGTTGGACTGCGTGTTGGCGGCCTATCGAGAACCTTGGAGAGTTAAGGAAGCAAAAACTGCTTCAACGACGAAATATACTTGAACGGCAAACCAAGAGAACCCTCTTCTCGGTCGGAGGTTCTCTACAGACTGTCAGCCGAGCTGACACTTTTTGTATCGCACTGCACTGTCATTAAGCTAACACGTTAACATGCATGCACTCGGAGTAAGTAGTCGGAGCTTCGGAGTTATCGATGGTGATTATACTAGTAGAAGGTATATGTGTGTATATGGTTTAATGCAACACTTGTATGGGCGTGCTGCAGACACCACCAGCAGCTGCTGCAGGCTGCAGGGTGTAGCAGCGTTGCACAGAGGACCTCCTATTACCTGAGATTAAGATGTAAGATCAAGTTTGGCTTGATAATATTGATAGGCAATGCGACACAATATATTAATGGGTTAACGCAACACTACTTGGTACACCCACGATATCAGATATCACTACAAATTATAAGGTGAAACTTAATTGTATATAAATGTATGCTTAATCACGCAAACTGCAAGCAGGCAAGTCAGGGCAAGTTTAACACACTGCTGCACGTATATAGATATAAATCTCTTGTCTTGCCTTCAACGGGCTTATTCAATATTTTAGTTGCGCTAGGCACCAAATGTGGCGCTAGGTTAGCTCAACATATATGTTATTTTGTTGCTATTGACAAAAAAAATGGCAAAGAGGAAGAAGCCATAGGAAGGGATCTCCGCATCCGCATCTGGCATCAGCTGGCATCTGGCCTCTCTCCTTTTGTGTAGAGAGCAAAAGGTGGGCACACGTGCAGCTGTTCAGGTCCGAACTCCCGAATAGGGATGCAGCCTGTCCCGAGATCTTTTTCTTAAAAGTACAGTTTCTTTTCATTAATTGTAGCGGCCGCATCAATAATTTATTGACTTGCGGCGTTGGTATGAACTCTGACTCACATTTATACAGTATCCGCTTGTCGAATACATTTTATAACATAGTATTGAGCTATGTCAAAAAATAATTTTATATTTATGATAAAACGAGAGTAGTTCATTTGAACACTTGTGTAACGGTACCAGTCATTGTAAAATTTATAATATTCGATAAAGCATTCAATTCCACACTACTTGTCTCGTCTTAACTATCGCAAACATTCATAATAAATCTTACGCATGTAATTTTTGTACTGCCATTGTTGGGGACATTTTTTTTTTTTCTCGTAAATATAACTTTTCATTTAAACAAATACTTTTTTTTTTTTTTTAATAAAAACGTACATATCGCGTTATATAATTGTACGTTACGTACAGTTTATAGAATGACAATTGAATACAATTTTTTTCTGGGTAGTTTTGTAAAGTTATTTAATTTCATGTGTGACAACTGCTCTTTAATATGTGCAATTGATTGTTTATTAAACCTATGAAATAAATTATTATAACCAATCACGATACGAAAAATGCTTCAATTTCTTGACGAATTGACAATTGATCTTGAGTTCGGTCTCAGTCTAGTTCAGCTTGTTCTTTCACTAAAACTTTTAAAAAATTTACACGATAATTATAGTATGCCATTTTTAATGTATTTTAATTTACTGAATTAAACAGTTTTGGCATTGTGTTTCTCATGATGGGTTTCAACTACTAAGCAATATTTATAAACAAATAAAGAAATATAATTACGAATTTTATCATAAAATCCTATGGTAGTAATAAAAAAGAGGACGTAGTTCAATTAACAGCCACCACCTATACACGCGGAGCGGCGCCTCTTAAAAAAAATACCGCACGGTTTGTTTGATTACGTTGGAATAAAGTATACTCATATACAGTGTTATATTATGCTGCTAAAAATATACACAAGAGATGGATATACAGTATAGGTATCCTTTTATAGCGAATCATCAGGGAAATCAATTAGAATGAAACGATGGACACAATAATATTACACTACATAATAACAATTTTATACCGAAACATATATATTTTACACACGCGCGTATACATAATATACGTATATATAGAAAAAATAAGATAGTCGACTAGATGTGACACGGCACGGGAGTGATGAAAAGAAAAAGTAAAAATGTATATCATGCCATTGAATCAACGAGTATTATCGCGTCAGTCTACGGGCGCACGCCCCCAGTCCTGCTTGATCATATCGGCGGCCTTTTCCCCGATCATGTAAGTCGGGGCGCAAGTGTGCCCGGCGACAATCTCGGGCATGACGCTCGCATCGACGACCCTCAGTCCCTTGACCCCGTGGACGCGCAGCCTTGCGTCAACGACGCCACCGTACTCCCGAGGCGCCATGCGACAGGTGCCCGTGAAATGCCCCAACGTGGTGGACACGTGACGGGCGACGCACGCCCAGTAAGGATCACTGGCGAACCTCGAGTGCTCGCAACCCGGGAACGGCTGGGGCAGGAGCGTCGCGTTGAACCGACGAAACGCCTCCGTCGACGCAACCCTTATCGCCTGCGAGCAACAAAAGCGTTTTTACTTTGCTTTGCCGCGTCCGTGCATGGCTGTCGATATGCACGCTCACCGCTTTGATCCCGCGGACCATGGTGTCCACGTCCTCCTGGCGCTCGTAGTAGTTGGCCTCGAGGACGGGCGGGTCGAGGGGGTCGGGTCCGCGCAGTTTGACGCGACCGCGGCTCTTGGGTCTCATCAGCACCGGCACGATGCTGAAGGCGTCCTGTCCCAAGTACCGGTCGAACACCTGACGGGTGAACTCCTTGCTCAGACCCAATATCGACCGCATGCCCCCCGACACGTCGCCCGTCAGCGCCCCTATCCCCAACACCAGCTCGATGTCCGGGTAATCCGGGCTCCCCTCCGCATCCCCCAAAACTGCAAATAATTACAAACACCATCATCACCATGTACTTATAGGACAACAGCGCTCATGTCCAAAGGTTTTCGGCAAAATAAGCTAAATGATGTACACACGATCTTTTTATAGTGTACAAAATAACGAGTGATGAACAATTAACTCAAGTAGTCATTGTATACATATATACAAAATAAATATATAAGCGTCAGTTATGCGTGAAAAGCGTTTGTCCTTGTAGAAAATGAATGTGTTATGATATGTTATGTTGTGTTATGTTAAACCAAATGTGTGTATGTGTAAGTATATATTGTGGAGGAGTCACTTTTCTTGGTGTCGATGAAGGCGAGAGCCTCGGCCCCGCCGGGGACGGTTAGCGGGCCGGCGCCGCGAAAGAGGTAGTCGAGGGCGTAGGCCGGATTGACGAGGAGCCTCGGCTCGACTATGGTGACGCTGGCGTTGACGGTGAAGGTGAGGGCGGCCATGCTCACGTGGTCCTGAAGGTTGTAGCCGACGGGCAGCTCCTCCAGCGGTCGAATGCCCAGGGGCTCGAGCTGGTCCTTGGGCCCGAGTCCCGAGAGCATGAGCAGCTGGGGCGAACCGAGGGCTCCGGCGCACAGGAGCACCTCTCGTCGAGCCGTGGCCACGCGAGGCTGGCCCTGACCGTCGATGAAGCGCACCCCATACGCTCGGCGGGTTTCTTGCTCGATCAGGATTTTCGTGGCTCGGGACGAGGTCGACACGCGCAGATTTTCCCGGTGGCGGATCGGTTGCAGGAAGGCTTTTCCCGCGCTCACGCGCCGGCCGTTGCGCAGGTTCGCCTGCACCGGGGAGAACCCGAGGATCCTGCGAATCGTCAAGCCAAGCTATATATCCTCAAGATTGTCAGGTGTCCACGACTCTACTGGTTAAAAAATGTGTACATTGCATTCAACGCATGTTTCCTTTTAATGTGGGCTCAGGTCATTTCCAACGGTCGTGGTCCATTTCATTGATCACCGTACGTTATGCGGGACACTCGTCACTCGCCGATCAGGGAGGGAAAAAAAAAAAGTTGTAAGTAACCCATCGAGCTCAGGTGCTGGCTGTTTTTTCGAAAGACATTGACAAAGGTGCGGAAAAATATTTGACGAGAACGAAGCAATGTTCACCTTTGTTGACATTTTTGTACAAAGTGATCCAGCGACAATATGAGACAAGAATATGACAATGTGTTTTCTTTTCGTTGCAATCGGTGTTAAAAATGCATTAATTACGGTGAAAAAAAATAAGGGAGGAAGGGTCGATCTTTAATACTATATACCTATATTATGCTCACAGGCATATTTTATAAAACATCTGTTATTTACCATTTGACAATTTTTACAGCATAAAACTAAGACTTTCACCTTACAAATTCCTTATTGGTTTTGAAACATTGAACGAACCTTTCGCCGTTGTAGTCGTTAATTTTATACCCAAAGTCCTTTCCCGCTTGAAGAAAGGGCTTGCGGAGTTTCGACGTGTACGGGACGTTGGAGACGTCCAAGTAACCATTTGTCGAGTGGTATCTTTTGTCTTGCCACTTCAGCCTGATGACATATACGCGAACAGTATTCACGGTTATTTCGGTGTTCAATAAAAAAAAAAAAAAAAAAAAAAAATACAAATATGTATATATAACACTACGTGGTAACCTGCTGTTCTCCGATTTTAAAAAGTAAGGTAGCACATCGTCGTAGGACCAGCCAGGGTTGCCCAGGGCCTCCCACTCGTCGTAGTCAGCTTTGGCGCCGCGCGTGTAAATCATGAAATTGATGACCGAGGTGCCACCCAGGGCCTTACCCCGTGGCCAATTGCATCGGCCGTCGGTCATCGACAGACAGTAGCCATCCTGGAAATTCAATAGGTATAGAAAAACAAGTTAACCAAAAATAAAATACAATTTACGTGCATATATAATCATTCTTTTACTTGAATCTGCAGAAAAAACGTGTGAAAGTGTGTTTTGAATACATATATATATATATA